ACTGTATCTGTAATCTGAAAGCATAGTTAACTGTGGGTCTGCTAGTAGTAGAACAGTGATATTTTAACTGTAAACAGCATTTTTAAAGTTTATTGATAACCCACAGTGGCAACGGGAGTGGCCCTAAAATTCTTAACTCAAATTACTCCACCATGGAAAAAGTTGCTTTGTTCTAGGTAGTGAAGAGCAACCACAGCAGTATTTTGGCTCTACAAGTGTTCTTGAAAAAGGACCATAGTATTGGATTGTAGTTATGAGATTCTCAGGGGGTTGCTGTGTTACAACATTGACTTGTCACAGGATATTCTGTTGGTTAATCTCTGTGAAAACTTGGGTGGAGGAAAAGATGTGGAATATCCATTGTATGGTCAGTGAGGTTTTTCCCTTTTGATGTTTCTGGAGGAGCTGTAAGTGGAAAATGTTATTTTTGTTGCAACAAAGAATCACTTTAGGAGATCGCTGAATCTCCAAACAATTAAGGAAATAACTTTCACAAGCACCTTGACATCCTAGTGGGTGTCTTCAAAAGGTTATTACTGGAATTAGTAACTATAAAGTCAGGGACATGTTCATACAGAGTGACAAAAATGAGTTCTTGTATCAGGTTTCTGAACACAGAAACCTTCTAAACAAGGAGTGCAGGAGATAATTAGACTAAAACTGAGGTAATTGCACATGTGTTTCAGCTGAGGTACCAGAGTTAGCAGTTTATCTGCAGAGGCTCCTAGGTCTTTGTTCCATAAATTACCCAGGAAGAGTGCTACAAATGGAAGGTAACTATTTGAAGTTTTTAACTGGATTATTTTTAGTGGCTCTTGTAGGCTTTGTTATTCCTTCTGTCCCACCTGTACTGCTGTGGGGCCACAGCCAAGTGCAAACAAGCAGTCTTCTTTCTGGGGTTTGTTTCTTCCTGTGCAAGAGAGGCATAGTCAGCCTGTGAGCTGGGCCCTGACTTGTACAGGTCTGAATACTGAGGTCCATATGGACACATTTGGCTGTTCTTATGCTGAACATTAGCTGTTTCCCTATCGATTCATGCAGCCTGAATCAGTTCTGTTTTAGAGATAATGGTTGCAGAAGAACCTATCTGTTAAATTAATATTGATACAACTATCACTTCAGTGATAATTTTAAATGCAGTGGCTTCTCCTGAGGATACTACTGAATGGCTCCTTCTTTACTTTTCAGTTTCCTTGAATAGCGCTGTTCTCTGAAGTCTTTAATCTTGATGTGATAGAAGTATGAGCTTTTGGAGGCTTGGTTGCATTAATCAGATTATAAAACTACCATGGTATTACTAGAAGAACATTTGTAGGTTTACAAATTGGTGCTGTTTCGACAACATGCTAGGATTTGATTTAGTGGAAGTTTTAGAACGACTGTCACTCATTATTTCTGTTTCCTGATGTGATTTGGTGCTTTACTAGTAGGTTATTACATGTGTTAATAAGGTTTTTACTCATTTAAAGATAAGAAAAACGAGAGTAACTTCTGTAAAAGATGAAATTACAAGCTTTTGTATCAGTAATTTGACAATGAACCAAGTAGAATTTTGTGATGAAAAATGTGGAAGTGTGTACAAATGTGCTCTTCCCCCATCAAGTCTGAAAAGTGAAGGAGTTTAAATAACAAAGTTTCTTATTTCTTTCAATCCTTTGATTTAAAATGACTTGAAAAAACCTCACAGTGAGCATCTGATCTGGAACCTGGGTTCTAAATGCAAAGTTAGGTGGCTTTACTGATAATACAAATGCTATCATGCTGTGTGTAAGCTGGAGGAGACTGAAATCTTTTTGTAACACCAAATTTTTGCTCATTTCTGAAGTGACTGAGCTTCTTAATCTTAAATATGTTCCAGGTAATTTTAAGAGTTAAATTTTGAACTTATGTAAGTTCTGAACTATCAGAGATCACTGGAGTTCAATGCACAGTTTACAACTGATAAAATAACTGGCGAGTTTAAAAAAAAAAAAAAAAAAACAAAAAAAAAAAACAAAAAAAAACAACAACAAAAAAAACAACCAACCAAACAAAAAAATCCCCACAACAAAACAACATCAACAACAACAAAAAATCCTCAAAACAACAAAACAAAAAAAAAAAAAAAAACAAACCTCCAAGAGTTTGTAGACTGTATTCTCTCTCTTTTTTTTTTTTTTTTTTTATTTAGAGTCCAAGGTTGTGGGTTCATGTGATTTTCAGAAGGTGATTGTGCCAACTAGCAAGTTCCCACTCTGCCTCCCTCCCACTACTTCTGTTTGAAGAAGCTGTATAGACAACTGGGGCTCTGGTAAATTAGTAGGATTCAAAAATTTACCTTTCAAAATGAAATAAAGTTAGATTACTGATCCAGTTCAATATGTATCTCCACAGCATTTGTCTCAAAAAAAAAAAAAAAAAGTGAAATGTGGAAGCAGAAATATATTAAACTTGTATCCTCCCACAAAGGTGCATCACAGTGTACCCTAAAACTTTTTAAGATTCCAATGCTGCTGAGAAGTTGAGGGTGATGGAGACAGCAAGGAAAATACTCAGAGAGAAACAACGGTTTGGGTACCCAACATCAAACTCCAAAGGGAAGCAGCTGTAACCCTAGCCTGCTAAATCTAGAAAGCATCAGTTTGATGCAGCACAGCCTCAAAAGCCATGTAGTTTATTTGGAGAACTCCGTTTTGAAAGCTTTCCAATTCGTTGATGTTTTAGGCAGCTGCACGTGCGTTGTGTGCTTACTTGCTCTCTCATGCTGATATTTTCTATTTTTTTTCAAAGAACAACAAAATCTTGAGACTTGGTTCTTTTCCTGTCTTCATGTTTGTTCTAATATTCCAAATATTTTTTCAGGAGATAATGGGAGTCTGATACAACTTATTCCATAATTTTATTAGTTAATTGCAGAAGGTATAAACCCTCTTAGAGGCCGTATGAAGAGTGGCCACAAGCAACAAATACTTTTTTCTTGACTGAGTTGATTATTAAACTTTCAGTAGTACCTCCTGGTAATTGGTATATAGTCTGCAGTGTGTGTTTTACCAAGTTCTCTTAGGGACTGTATTTTTTGTCTGTATGTACTAACTATTTTGACATAGCATACTTGGTTATATGGGGTGTGGGAAAAAAGGCTTCCAGAAATACTAAAGAAAAATTTCTCACATGCTACATACCTTTTAAACTCTTTTCAGTATCTTCTAATCCTGACATTCTCTTTCCTTTTTCAGACAGAAGACTTGAGTCCTCTTCTCCTTCAGTAGCTATAAAAGTGAATGGCAAGGTCTAGTTGGTAGCCAGTAGTAGCATTTAGGCAGTGTGCCTCGGTCTGTGGTAAGTAGCTGGAAGGATTGGGCTTACTCTGCATTCCGGTCAGTTCCCTCTTTCATTGCTGCCATCACCAGGCCTCTCCTACCCAATAACCACTGCTGGTGTGGAAGAACCAGTCATCAGACCTCCTTACTGGGGGAAGAAGTCTGCTGTACACTGAATGCTTGTGGAGATGATTGATTGCTCACATCTCTTCCTTTCAGTAAGAAGAAAGGGAAATACCTCTTGTTTCTCCCATTGCTCTCAGAAAGGTGCTTCAGGAGATAAGGCTCGTGTTATGTCAGCTGTCTCCTGAAGTGCACAGCAGAGGTACTCCATGAAGCAGCAGGTCAACAGGCTTGTAGCTTGTTCTCCTATAGGAGGAAGCCAGCAAGTGGTGCTGTTTCTTCTCCCTCTTTTCTGTGATTAGTGACAGTGATTTTTGTAGTAAAAGGTAGATGTATGGTGCTGCAGGCTGAGCCCAAGTCCATCCAGATACTTCCTAAAGACAGAGCTTTCTTTTTTTGTTCAGTCCAAACATTATCTTCTTTCTCAACTGTGGATATGTTTTATAGGTCTTAGCTAAATTCTCCAGAAGGTATAATTTGTCTTTCTTTGACCTGTGGCAGTTGATGTTTGTAGAAATATGCATGTCTTTGGATTGGTGGTAGGGGTTTTCCTGACTTCCTGTAAAGCGGAAAGAAACAGAATTGAGCTTTCTCAGATGATGATACAACCCCATATTTGTCCATCTCTTTAAAACTTAATTTGCTTTGCCTGTTGATCAGAGTAAGGTAGTACAAAATTATTTTAATAGAAGCTTATGTTTATTTGTAAATGTTCTTGTTTGGTATACAATTATATAAGTGTTCACTTGGAAATGTTCATAAATTAATTTGCTCTACCAGGTAATTACTAACTTGAATCTGACCGTTCCTCTCATTAGAATCATACGTATAAATTTGTGCAGGTAAAGGGGTAGTATGAAAATATTGGTGATACCATGTGGCTTATTTCCCTTTGAGGTTCTTCCATATTACTTTTATTACTGCATTTTGTTCTCCTCCTTCACTGGAGTGACTTTGCTATTGTATGTAAGGGTATACATAATCTGTGGATAAGACAAGCATGTACTTTAGGTCTCTGTTGCAGTAAGTCTTTATGCCTGTCTAGGACTACTAGCTTTAAAATTTTGGATCATCACATAGTGTTCGTTGTTAACTATCATTAAGAAATGCAGTGCTTACCAGTCTCAGAAAAACAAAACCAACTATCTGCAAGATTATAATGCAGAGAGTTAAAATGTAATGACTTAAAGATTGAATTTAGACTGTTCCCACTAAACATGAGAACTTGCTGATATATTTGAGGATAAAAAAATAAATATAAAGGCATTATAGAATAGCACCGGTATTATGGGGCGGGGGGGGGTCATAGAGTACCTCCCTTTTAATCAGGTGTTGGAAGGAAGAAATTCCACTCTAACAACCCCAAAAGAAATACTTAATTGAAGATTTAAATGCATCTGCATTTTGTAATTTTGGAATTTTCCAGTAACGTTTTTAGGCCAATAGCTATTCTTATTTGATTATCATTTGATAAAGAAGTAACATCATTGTCTGTATCTTACAGTGAAGTTACTTTGTTTGTACTGTGGCCAGATGGTATAGTTCGTTTAACCATAGTGTGCTCATCTTGATTTGCAGCACATCTTCATTGCCACCTCTTGACTGGCCTTTACCAAGTCATTACGGGCAGTGTGAACTGAAAATAGAAGTCCAGCCTAAAACTCATCACAGAGCTCACTATGAAACAGAAGGAAGCAGAGGAGCTGTAAAAGCATCTACTGGAGGACACCCTGTAGTGAAGGTAGGAAGTCTGGCTTTCTTGAATAGAAGATAATTTTTAAACTGTAATTATTGTTATTTACAATGCTGTGAATTATTGCCTTGTGTGAAGCTTACAGCCCTTCCTGGGTAAGATTTTCTCCCTTAAATGTAACTTGTTCCATAAAATAGTTAGTTTTAGACGTTTAAAATTAGTTTGCTACAGTTACAGTGCGCATTACAGTTTTATGCTGTATGCAGTTTTATGTTTGTGAATGGATTCACAGTGTAACAGTGTATTACTTAACATATTCAATGTGAACTTTAGGGAGGAAGGAGTGTGCATGGAGGCAGATAAGAAAAGTCATGATAATAAGATTAGTTGGAGTTATACTGAAATATGTTATAGCTTCATTTGAAACAGAAATCATCCTTTTGGTGTTGAGACAGCTTCTGAACACTATAAATGCCTCTTGTTTGTGTTTTTATTAGGGTATTTCTGTGAAATGGTACCTATAAATTCTGTTAACTTTCACTTAAATGTTTGGAGTAAATGAAACTTGACTCTTCTTCAGCATGTACCAAAGGTTATTACTCACAGTCTAATGGTAGCTATCTCCTTAAAAAGCAAGGCACCACCTAGCTTCATTAGATTTGGACTGGTTATCTGTAAGGGCAAGTAAGACTTGTTTGCTTCTTTTTTTGACCTCATTTCCATCATCTTAACAGAATTGTGCAAGCTTTATTGTCTCTCAGAACAGTTTTTATGAGTTTCAAGAAAATGCAGTAATGCAGACAGCAGTCCTCATGTGGCTAAGAGAGTGGTGGTATACTGTCTGCTCTAACTGCTACCTGCCATTAACAGTTGCTTTGGCTGGGTTCTTCAGCTAATGCTAAATATTCCAAATGCTAATAGCATCTAAAGCTTATTATTTAAATACTTTTTTGTATTGTAAATTGTCATATAGCAATGTTTAAATACAAACACCATCCAGTTATTGTTGAGCTCAGAATTAAATGTAGGGTCCAGTAAATTAGGCTTGGCTTTCATTAGAGAGCTTTGCCATCATACTCGCTTTGAAGGGAAAGATGTGTGGGTTTGGTATTGTGGGTGTAACTGTGTGCACAAGCTCTGACTCTCTGTGTTCAGATGTGTACACAAATATCTTACTCTATTCTGAGAAGACTTCTCGATTAATTAGGGGTAGTCACTGGTGTCTCCTTTAATATCTGTGGTGCCAGCCAGCTCATGCAGCTTGAAAGGAAACCCACCCCCTCATTCACTGGACATGGGGAATATCGTGCTGAGGAACTGTGGGACTTGCTAAAATGTCTTGATTTATCAGTCTGCCACATCCTTATTCACCTCTATCTTCCTTAATGGTCTGTATCTTAATCCCAAAGTAGGTTAAGATAAAATTTAACTGTTCATTTGTAAGTCAAATCAGACAACAGTTAAAATATTTATAAAACAAATAAGAAAAACAAAACAAAACAAAAAAAAAAACCAAACCCACAACACTAATCTGAATACATTAAGGTTAGAGCAGGGTTTGTCTTTGTCTTTCCCCCAAGGCCAGGGTATTTTCTGTTCTTTTTGAGTAAAATGGCAGTCAGGGTTTCAGTCCTCAGTCTTTCACTACAGAATCAGAATAGCAGGTTGGAAGGGACCTCAAGGATCATCTGGTCCAACCTTTCTTGGTAAAAGCATCGTCTAGACAAGATGGCCCAGCACCCTGAGCAGATGAATCTTAAGTGTCCATGTTTCTTCTCTTGATAGCTTTCCTTGAACTTTTTAATTCCTCCTTTTTTCCTCTTAAGACTTGGTATTTCTCCTTTCCCTCCCTCCAGAAAATGGCTGGTTATCTGCATCCTGTCTTCCTTCTTGAATGTCTTCCTTATCCTTTCATTTCCATTCTTGATCTGAGCTCTTCATCCAATTTTTGTGTTCCCTACAAAGTTGCTTATTGTTTTCCTTCTCATCACAATACCATGACCTAACCAGCTCCAACTTTGTCCTATTGTCAGGCCTACTAGATTTCTTAGCACAGTAGAAGCAAGAGTTAAGTGCCTATCAGGGAAGTCCGTGCTGCAAATTAGAGAAAACTGAGGATGCCTGGACTAGACTGGAATCTGAAAGTCGGCTGGGCACGTTTCTTCATGTGGAGCATTGTGTTGCTTTAGTTGGTGGAAAACAAGTAGACACGACTTTCACATGCCAAGGTGCTGGCACTGTGTTTTAACACACATCATTGAGAACAGAAACTTGAGAGATTTTAGCTGACAAAATAAATCTCAGCTGAGCTTTTGCAAATGGCATTCAATTTATTTTTTTGTTTTCATTTACTGTTTTTTTTTCCCCTGGGTACTTCTGCCTTGCACTAATATTTGCATTACGGGAACTTGTTTTGCTCATTTTTATAAGATTTGACAAATATATGTAGGCTTTCTTTTGCTTACAGAACTGGATGCTTCTAAACTGCATTACTAGATGCAAGTTAGAAAAAATAGATCTGTCACCTATGCAACTTAAACCAGTGATTTTAAAAACTATTTATTTGCATTGGAATTGTGAATTACCTTGCTATGACAAGAACGCTGTTTTGAAAATAGGGATAGTATTTATGTGTTTGACAGTCTCGTGCTTAACCACATGGATTGTGTACTATGCCTCTCTAAATTAAAATGAATACAAATGAAAATCGATATTCTGTTTTGCAATTTGGTCTCTTCCAGCTGGATTAGAAATTAGTTGTTGTGCTTGGTGGGAGGAAGTTGTTATGAAACAAAACATTGATTTGTATCAACGTTTTACTCGCTGCCTGGAAAAACAGTATGCTAAGGGCCAGGTTTGAAAGGTAGATGCTAAATAATAGTGAACAGATGAAAATTACTTTATTTAAATACAAAAGTGAAATCTTTTCCAGCACTTCCAGAGGCGTATTACACAAATCCATTTCACAATATGCATCACTATTTGTTTCTGACTTAACTTTTCTTTTTGGTGCTCTTAGTTTTATACCAGTCGCTTCCATGTGTGTGATCATTGCAATAAAATACTCTAGCATTTTATTGTGTGATATGACTGTATGTTAACCAGTGTCACAGACAAGAAAGAATGTGGGTGAATAGAAAAGAATAGAATGTTTCAGCTGGAAGGTACCTACAACAATCATCAAGTTCAACTTGCCACTTGTGTGGGTGCCTGAAGGCCTGTGTGCTTTTGCTTCCTATACAATTTAATTTGCTCTTGAACATTATTTTATAGTAAGCTAGAGTATTTAATTTCCGAACTGTGAAACCTCTACAGTGTTGCGTCTACAGTTGATGTATTATTTAAAATAAAGATTTTAAGATAGTATATAGCTTCAAGTCATTAATCTATTAGTGAATGTCATTAATCTATTACTAATACTATACCATACCTGTTGCTAGGAGACTAAGCTCCTGACAAATTTGGCATCAGCTCTTGTGAGTATGTTTAATCAGCTTATTTCCAAATGTGAGGAAATGAAATGAGTGGAGCATCATGCTTTGCTTTGTAAGTCTACTGACTTGAAGGAAGGAAATGCTGTAATGAAATTCTCTTGTTTTCAGCTTTCTAAAGCAAAATGTTCTAGACAGCAGGTACCTATCATTTTAATCTCCGCTTTCATGGGAGTATGTTCTAGCTAGTCCGTGTTATTTCAAACAATTTCTTTTACCTTGGTAGAGAATCTGCAAGATAATGCTGGCAATTTTTACAGGGAATGAATACATAACTTGGCAGAATGGCTAGCAAGGAGAAAGGCAGCATGTTGAACCATTGTTGTTCAAATTATGTGGAAGCTTTGTATTGTACTGTCAGGAGACATAAAAAGCCTCTGAGCACTGTCTACCTTTACCATTCTAATTCAGTAAGTTAAAGTACTTTATAAATGGGTACACTAAGCCTTTTAATCAAATAGCTGCCACATTTCATGTGACTTTAGATGAATTACCATTATTGCTTGAATTTCCCACCTTTCCCATAGGCCAAATTGTATATAATAAAGTAACATTTACACTTAAAATTTGCTAGAATGAGTTTTTACTGAGATCTAAAATAGCCAGGGTTTTTCATGAGACTTCACTTGGATCAAAAACACAGAGGCATTTTAGAGCAGGTGGGCACATGATAAGGATCTCCCAGGGATAGTTTATTTTTACTTTTGTATGACTTTTTTCTTTTTAAACCAAACTTGTTTTGTGTACTGTGTTTGTGCTATTCATGTCAACTTCTGCAGTTTTCTTCAGTACTTAAAAGTTAATGGTATCTTTTGGTAGTAAACTCCATAAGCTGTCTTGTGCACAAGAAGTAGTATTTCCTTTTTATCTTTTTGTCCTGTTATTAGTGAAGAAGGTCATCTACATGATATTCTTCTTGATAACCATACAACGTGATGTACTGAGGGACTGTTGAGCTAACAGCTACTTGTTAGCACCGTTCCATGTGCAAGGAATATCTGTCCTGTGACCATTTACCATAGTGGGAATGAGTTCTAGATGTGGACTATGATAAGGGTAATTTAATCTAAAATTGATGATGTATTGGCAACAGACACTGTATAGAATCCACTTACGCCCCATGCATGCAAGACAAGTTTGGAGTGGTGGTAGCTATTAAGAACTTGCCTGTACCAGAAGTATCTTTTTGCCATAAAACAAAGGATTTAAGGATAGAATCATTCATCAGTACCTCTGCCGTAAGCAAAATTTCTTACTGTAGTTGTTTCTGCAGTAACAGAGGAGGGGAAGGATTGTTTGTAATCTGTATGGACAACTTAGCAGTATAACAGCTGAAGAAAGGTGTAAGATCAAAAAGGGCAGAAATGTTAAATAAAAACTAGTTGATTTAAATGGTTATACACTTCTAGTCACTCACAAGCAAACAGTAACCTCCTGTGTGAGGTTTAATGGAGAGCTGTGAAAGAGGGATTGAATGTCAGCTCCGTTTAAAGTGATTGCAGAGCTTGAAGTCATGGCTGAAGAGCTGCAGTGGAAGAAAAAGTAAACTAATTGACC